CCCCCCCCCCCTGAAAATAACATTCCTGAATTCATTTAAAAAAGCCTATTTAAATTGTTTGGCATAATGTTTTTCTGTTTTAGTTAAAGATTGCTTAATCTAAATGAATTAGCATCTAGTGAAAAAAAATATTGAAAAATAAAATGTATTAAATAAGTTTATTTATTACAGAACATTTGGAAAAACTCTCACAAAAAAATACGAAATTGAAGACACATGTTTTGTCTATCATTTCTACAAGAATTTCATTTTTATAAAAAATTTTATCTAAAACCTATGGTCGAATTCAAAAAATTTATACCGCGTTGCTGAACCTCAAAAACCGGTTCCAATTGAGCGCCGGCTTAAATCCACTTAAATCTCAAAAGACTGAATACAATTTCAAGGGAGTCGACCATGTTTGAGCCGCATATTAAATAAAATAATATAAAATAAAATAAAGCAGAAGACACATTTTCTGTTTATCATTTCTATAACACTGGGCGCTGAGCTTTATAAGGGCGCTTCAGTTGTGAACATTTTCTCTTTGTATACATTGTAAAACAAAAAAAGGTTTGCGGACTTTCTTTTCTTTCATCAATTAAAATTATGCTTACAAAGCAGGGAACTCTAGAATGGTGAATATCGAGATTAATACTTAATCCTCTCTGTTTGCAAATCTCGAGACTTACAGTACCTCGAAATTATGTTAGTCTAACATAACACTAACATAACATAATAAGATAATAACATAACATAAGAACATAACATAACTAACATAATCTCGAGGTTAAATATTTAGATCAACAAATTTGATTCTAGGAACGCCAGATTTCTTCATTTTCTTGACTGGAAGGGTCTTCACTTTATTTCTCACCCATGTATTTATTAATACATTAGTTAAAATTGGTTAAAAAAGAATCTCAAACGTATTATTAAACATTTTTCTTCATCGATTAATTTACAAAATGGCCGACAGCATATTCTTTATTTGTTGGGAATTGCGGATTTCTCTCATGGGATGAAATTTATTTTCAAGGCTGTCATTGGTCAATAAAACTTACGAACTATATTCCTGCACTCTCATTAGAGAAAACAATGTATAACGGATATCCAAAGAGAGAGAAAAAGAGTGGATTAAGGACTAAAATGAAAATTTTCCACAGTAGATATTCGTATTAAGTAATTGGGATTAAAGGTTATACATTCTAAAGTTCGCAGCGCAGTTCTTTTAAAAATTTATGTTCACAATCTAAATCAAAAAGATAAAGTATCTGTAAACTTTTGAATATCAGACAATGAATTTTTTGATTATTTTGTACATGTGTCCACACAAGAGGAACCCCAACAGTATACTGATCAGTCCTGAATTATTTTTCAATTTATCATAAAGCTCCATATTAAATTGAGACTTCTCAGTTCTTAAAAAGAACTGTTTAATTTAAAATAATGGTGCTACGACATTAAAGCTATCTAGAGTTTTTGTCCAGTGGCTTTTTGCTTTATACAACATTTTAGCTATTTATCATGTTTGTTTTATGAAATTCTTTATTAGATAACTCTTTTCTGCTTTTCTGCACATCAAGCACTGGAGATATTTAATTTTTGTAAAGTATGGCAAAAAAGACACTCGTAAAAAAGTATTTTCACATTTTTTCAGATTTCAGATTTTTTACATAACGGCTCATATACAGGGTGTCCCAAAAATAGAAGTGGTAGCCTTATTGTTAATATTTTGACAAATATTGAATGATTTTGATAGAATTTTGGCATTCCAAAACTTCAAACTTGAATAACAATTGATAGAAGGCTTCAGATTACACCAACCGACCAGAAATATTTAGTAGATATCGAAAATGTCCAAAATCGTTCAACATTGATCGTCTACCACTATTGTTCTTTTTGGGACACCCTGTATGAATGATAGTTTTTTTCATACATTAAGGAAAGAAGATAAGATCAAAGTTTAAATGAATGAAATTAGATAAGATTTTAGAGGCTGTTTTAATATTCCCAAAACTATGGAACAGAATGCACATGTAAAAGAACAGAATGCACACTGTACAGTAACAAATTATACTTTTGACTCGTTCTTTAAGATAATGGTGAAACAAGGGTAAAACGATTTGCTTTGTGACAACATCAAATACCATAATATTAATTAATTAATTAATTAGTTAATTAAATACAATTAAGCAAAACAAAACAAGAACGGAGAGGGGGGCATATAACAATGAAAGGGTGATCGTGCACTGTCTTATTGGCGCAAAGACAGCTACTCGTAACCATTCTTTCAAAAGCAGCGTATACAGATGAACGGGAAAAGGGAGGCAAGAAAAAGAAAAATTTGGGACATGCAGATTGAAAAGGGAGAAAAAAGATGAACATTTGATATTATTTACTATACCTCGTACCATTTCATTTTTTAAAAAATTTTAAAAATATATTAAAACATTGTTAAAAAAAAAAAATATCGTCTATACCTGTATATATGGATTCCCCTGCATACCTGTATATATAGCTGTCACAAAAACTATTCTATCTCTTCCATACTCCGGCCAGCATACTTTGCCTGCAGGGCATAGGAAGTAGAAAAATTACAATGTTTTTTCATCTATATAATACTTGGCTTAGGTGTCTGGGTGTTTGGCCGTTTGTATCTAATAAACGTCAAAACAGCTGAACCGATCGGGCTCCAATTTTGTCTGGGTCTCACATGGCCCAGGGAAGGTTTATGGATTAACAAAGCTTAAAAAGTTTGTTCAAAATGTTGTTTTATGAAAATTTTGAAAATGCGCGAAAAAAAATTTATTACAACTGCGATTTGTTTGCTATTGTTTTATACAGAGAGAAGTTGCTCACAGATAGAGCCACAATTAAAAGTTGAAATAGAATATGGACGAAAAGCCCCCTTAACGCCTATTTATCTTTAAAAAAGTACTCACTCAGCTGGCTGAACAGTTCTTCTGAGCACACAGTGGAGCTAAAATAGAGAAAACATTCAAATCTGTCTTAAAGGGACTGTAAACGTAATTTCAAGTGACTCAAGATTAAGAACCTGCATCCTAAATTCACAATGGTGTCATTAACCTTTAATCTTAATGTGGTCTATAGCATTTAGTTACACGTTTTAATGCTTCCAAAATCCAAAAGGCATCTAAGCACATAAAAATAATCATTTTTTATTTCGAAAACTAGGACGTTTTAGCACAGGTATGGATGAAGGGTTAAATGTAATTATATGAGTCTACATTTAGATGATATGAGAAAAAAACTCAAATATTCTCAAAAAGGACACATTCTTTAAGATGAAACTAAGAGCGCCAAAATAAATTAGAAATAAAAACGAATGAGAAAATAAGTATAGGAATCCAGAGAAAGTTAATGCTGTAGAGATTAAAACTGTCAGAAATAAGATGAAAATGACCTGAAGAAGATTGCTAGAAAGGATGATGTAGAGATTAAAAATGCCAGAAATAAGATAAAAATGACTTGAGCAAGATTGCTAAAAAGGATGATGTAGAGATTAAAAATGCCGGGAATAAAATGAAAATGACCTAAGTAAGATTGCTAGAAAGGATGATGCAGAGATTAAAACTGCCAGAAATATGATGAAAATGACCTGAGCAAGATTGCTAGAGAGGATGATGTAGAGATTAAAAATGCCAGAAATAAGATGAAAATGACCTGAGTAAGATTGCTAGAAAGGATGATGTAGAGATTAAAACTGTCAGAAATAAGATGAAAATGACCTGAGTAAGATTGCTAGAAAGGATGATGTGGAGATTAAAACTGCCAGGAATAAGATGAAAATGACCTGAGTAAGATTGGTAGAAAGGATGATGTAGAGATTAAAAATGCCAGAAATAAGATGAAAATGACCTGAGTAAGATTGCTAGATAGATTGATGTAGAGATTAAAAATGACAGAAATAAGATGAAAATGACCTGAGTAAGATTGCTAGAAGGATGATGTAGAGATTAAAACTGTCAGATATAAGATGAAAATGACCTGAGTAATATTGCTAGAAAAGATGATGTAGAGATTAAAAAGCCAGAAATATGATGAAAATGATCTGAGTAAGATTGCTAGATAGATTGATGTAGAGATTAAAATTGTAATGTCCATTGAAGCAGTCCATGTTCTCTAAATGAATATGTAAAGTTACAATTTACAATTTCGATTTTAAATGAATGGATTTCGATCTATCTGAAAAAATTCTTTTAACTTTTTTCAACAAATGCACAATCTCTTCTAAAACAACTCTTGTCTGAAAAGGGATTGTAAGTGTAATTTCAAGTGACACTCTTTACAAAGATGGCAGTGTACGATTCACAATCTTAATCTGATCAAAAATCCGAATCATCGTTTTTCTACAATTAGTGTTTAAAAATAATTTCCATAGTTTTCCTTGCGCCACAATTGATAAAAACATTGATTTCAAATATGCAAAAGATTTTGCAAAATTTTTAATAACCTGATGTGTAATTAAGAGAAATTAAAAATGTGATAATTTCTTTTGACGGGTTGTATCCAAATAATTTGCAAACATTTCTTTGCAAAACTTGTGCAATCCGTTTCCTAATGTCATAGACTTTCCAGTAAGCTAAAAGTTATCAAAATCTGACAACAAGTGGGTCAAACCAAAGATTTAGTTTGTTATAGGAAGAGGTAGTTATTCAGGCAGTGTGCCTGAGGACTTGCAGGCAGTAAGTATGAAAGCCCGATTTTAGACCTCACGTCAGAAAATTTAAACAGCCTCAGACCAATACTTTTCGAGTTACGTTAAAAAAAATACATGGGCCCCACCCCCAGCACAGAAATAGGGTTAAAAAATACATGGGCCCCACCCCCAGCACAGAAATAGGGTTAAAAAACTTTGGAAGTATTCAAAATTTCAAAGCTCAACCTCTTTAGATAGTCATTGGTCATAGTGTAAGAAGACATTTTGACTACTATGCATGAAAGAGGTTTAAACAATGACCTAGAAATCCCAAAATATTATCTGTCACCTTATACTAGATGTACACAGATAATAAGCTAATATAGGCTAGACTGCCCTATAGTTGTACCGACATACTAGATGTACACAGATAATAAGCTAATATAGGCTAAACAGCCCTATAGTTGTACCGACATGACATGCTATATTCCCACCAACGGTTTTTGACTGCCATCTTACCGCCACTTGATGGATATAATACCCATGTCAAGGGTTAAGTTTTACAAAAAAATACTCTAGCTTTTAACAGAAAGGATAAAATCTTTGAATTTAGTATATTATTTAAGGTTTTAAATTTCGTATTCAAAGAATCCTGAAATATCTCTGAATACAAATGTCTGTTTATTGGTCTTGCACTCCGTTTGTACACAATGAAATCTGCTATGAAAAATATCGCACATTCTATTCTTTAATATACAGGGTTAGTAACAAGGTATGAGCCATCTAATTGACTACTGTACGGAATTTATACTGTCTGGTTCCTTATATTCACGATTCCCTGCAACTCTAAACTGTAGATAAACATTACATAAGCCATTATAGATTACTATAGGCCGAATACTTAATTTAACCTTGGGATCGACAAATGTTAAGAGTTTTCGGTCGTCTTTATAGTCTCATGTCCTTTGTGGTTAACCCTGTATCTATGTTAATAGAGCTTTGTTATACTCTCTTACATCTTTACCTGACCCAAATTTGGAATAGATTATCAAGTACAAAAGGTGGCAAGAGAGAAATCGACCAATTATGCATGACGTCACAAGTGTCAAATGTAACGGGAAAATCGGAATTTCCTCACATTAGTTGACATGTTTTCCAAGATTTAATAAAAAAAATGTAAAAACAGAAAATAAAGAACACATAAAATTGCCCTTATTGTACTGTATGATAAACACTTTTAAAACAAAAAATGAATTAACACTTGTGACGTCAGAATACAGCTGCATAATGAGAGTGTACAAATTCTAAGTTGCCATCTATTGAACTAGAATTTATTTGACCTGACCTACAGGGTGTCACACGAAATATGACAGTGGCGAATAGATTTGATTGTCTTCTTCCATATAAATTGTATTAGAAAGACATTTTGCAGTTTATTTAGTTGAAAAACATCTTTTCCTTAAATTCATTTTACTTTGAAATCAATTTCACTTAAATATGATTTCCATATAATATTTTTTATCATTCTCTTTAGTATCAAACAACTTAACTAATTATGGAAGAAGACATTTTAAACTATTGACCAACTGTCGTGTTTCGTACCACTATAGTTTCAGTAGAAGTAAATATTTCCATTTACTGCTGTAGTGCCGATATAAGGATTTATCTCTAATTGGATAATGAGCTAGATAGACAGATAGATGTTACCGCCATACTATTTCTATTGGTTCAGAATAGACAACAAACACATGACTGAACCCTGATTGGATCAGGCGCAAATGGACTCAGCAAACAAGAATGCGTTAGCGTAGGACACCCTACCAGGACACCCTACCTGCAGTATTTTCCCTTTTCTCCAGGTACAGGAATCCCCTTTAGTCTGCGCACCAGGATAAACAGGAATATACTAGTTAGGCTTCCAACTACTGGATACAAAACTCATCTAACAAGGACTATTAATGTGACTCAGGGACNCCTACTCTAGTGCCGATGTCGGGTAAATAATTTTGGACTTTTGATGTCCGACATCGGAATGTCAGAGACTAGATGTTTACAGGGAGTTCCCATTTGGACCGCGACAGAAAACCTCCTGGATACCTTTCACTGATCCAGAAGGGGATGAACCCCAATTCTCCCTCCCCCCCTCCTCCCTGTCGACGTCTTTTTATAATGAGATATACTTTGGAACAGAAAGAGGACATTAATTATCAATGAAAAAGTGAAATTGGTGCATGAGTATGGACATTGCACAATTGTTGATTTTGATGATTATGAATTTAAAAGTTGTAATTTTGATGAATTAAAAGTGTCAAAGTTAATGAGTCGGAAAAGTTTCAGAGTTTGTGAATTTATAAAGTAATGAATTTAAAATAGTTTTAATGTTATTGAATCAAAAGTTTCAATGTTAATAAATATAAACAATTTCAATGAATTTAAAGTTTCAATGTTAATAAATCCATACTGCAGTCCTTCAATTATCATACAGGGAAATTTTCATCTTTCTAAACATCCCAACGAATGATTTGACAGGTTCTTTTGATGATGAATTTTAAAGTTTTAATGTTGACTTGTAGCAAATACATAAACCATTTCAATTTTACTCGAGACGTATCTATCCAGGTATACTCAATACCAAGATCCACCAGGACTAACTCTACTATTCTCAATGCCACATAGGCAATATCTCAACTAGGCCTAACTGTCTGGTTCTAAAGGACACACGGTCCAAATCTCAACTCGTATAATTCAAGCTGTATTGAATTCAAAGCTAAAACAACTAGCAAAGTTGAAGGTACTTATTTAAAGGATTAAGGAGAATATGTATAACGAAGTTAATCTATCCCAGTCCCTATTTTATAGCGTAATCTATCCCAGTCCCTATTTTATAGCGTAATCTATCCCAGTCCCTATTTTATTGCGTAATCTATCCCAGTCCCTATTTTATAGCGTAATTTAAGTATGTCGCATGATTTAAGCTAAGTTTGTTAAGTATTAAATTGAAACGCAGTTTCAATGAATAATATCATTATGTCTTAGTTTAGAACATTAAATCATTTGTAATTTATACAACGTACTGCAAGTTTATACAGAATATCTTGTTTACACGCTTTTTGCTACACACTAATTAAAAACTGTTTCAATGTTGATAAATATAGAAACAGTTTTAATGTTGATGAATTTGAAAATGTCAATTTTGATGATTTTGATGAATTAAGAAAGTTAATGAATTCCCTAGTAGAATATTTTGTAAGGGAGAAACATCATGTGGAGAGATCCAAGAGAAACCAACCACTTCAATCTAAAAAAAAAATCTTAATTCCTGATCATTTCATATTATGTTTATCAAAAGAAAAAATAATTTAGAAGAAAGCAAAACAAATATTTTCACTTTAAAGTAGATTTCACTTGCGCACAATTGCGGGCCCTGCATAATTCCGGGCATCGGAGATCCGATTCACCCCGGACTAACCAGGGTGAAATGCATAATTGAATTCAATCCCGTCTTGGTTTCACCAAAAAACTAAACTTTTCTATTCTTTATATTTATTTATATTTAAGTTTTTAACTACACATTTTTATTTAAAAAGAATTATACTAAACATAATGTTTCACGTCTATCATGACGGTCCTCAGTAGTTACAATTCTTTGAACAACTCTTTATATATAGATCTAAATTTTACTTATTTGAAAAAACTCTTGAAAAATGGATAGACATAAATAGTCTAATCTGGACAGGGGTTAATGCAATATAACCAGCTTTCACGGACTGCTTTATCGTAAAAAAAAATAACAAAGATTGGAAACACGGCTCGGTATTTCTCAATTTTCTACTATTTAGCTTTTGTTGTAATATAAAATCCCTAAAAGTCACAGAAGGATGAAAGCAACCTTCTAATATCATTGATATATACCTGGTATATACTAAGAAAGGTTGCAGAAACTGTATACGAGGTGTACAAGAATACCCGGGATTCAGGTCTGTACCGTACTATACTTCTGTACAGTGTACAACAAACTTGATTTAATGGGATAAGCACATGATAAAATATGATGAAAACATTGAGGAAAAGGACAGAATGAGTTACCCCTATTTTTTCTTCATAAGATTAAAACAATCTTGGCTGATTCTATTCATTTAAAAGTTCACAGCTCTGGTATTATTTCAATGTATCTTTTACTTTAAATTATGATGGTAAACCATCTTTGTTTATAAATAGTAAAGGTAAACATTGAATTTAAAAGAATACTTCTTAGTACATGAATATAGGATGAATTGTTTCATAGTTCATGAATTTAGGGCAAATGAGTATGTTTCATGGCAAATGAATAAAAATGAATAAGTATGTTTCCTAGCAGAAGAATAAAGAATGAGGGGTAGGATGAGGATGAGGATGAAGAGCAGAACAGGATGAATACTTGAAACCCAAAGAAAAGCTGGAACAAGTATGACTGGGATCAATTTATCAAGAGGAAGCCTGAAAACAAAGTATACTAAGGAATTAAGTCTTTGACACAAACTCAAATTTTCTAATCTCTATATCTTTGCAACCTGATGGTGTAAATCTTTGAAATTTCAAACTAAGACTATTTGATCTAACATAAATTATGGTTTAAAGTATCTAAGGTTTATGACATTAGGCTTATTGCAAATATACAAGGTTAAGAAAATCAAAGTGTGTGGCAAACACTCAATTTCTTTTTGATTACTATTCTAAGTAAAGATGAGTTAATGCAGTTTATCCAGTTTATCCAGGGAGTATGGAATAGAAGTGAGATATAACTGACGCGGTTCGCCCTACCCATGATTATACATGCCTTGCAGACGGGTACTCCATTTGTATAAGAAATATTCAGAATAGGTTATTGTATACGCGGTAATTGTACATCAGACAAATATTTCTTATACAAATGAAGTACCGTCTGCAAAGCTGAATGTATAATCATATGGTAGGGCGGGCGCGTCAGTTGTATCTCCCTTCTATTCCTTACTCCCTGAGTTTATCTGAATTTAAAATCAAGAATAAAGTAATAACTATAAGTTAATAACAATTGATTTTTTTCATGTGGTTTGAATAAGGAAAATTATTAAATTTGGATTTAAGTTTTAGCTTACAACGATTTTTGGAAACCTGTTTAAAGGTTTTTGTAAATTTACCGCGTCCAAATTTAATGAATTTGAGCCGCGTCTCAAATCCGCCAAAGCCGATTTCAATTAAGCGCCGGCTTAAATTTTGAAACATTGAATACAATTTTAGGTGGAACCAACCGTCTGAGCTGCGTCTAAAATTTAAGCGGCGGCTCTAATTCTTTAAATTCCGTCATTGTAATGGCAAAAATAATAGAGAATTTATGCAGAAGATACAAAAAGAAATGTTTATTGCAGATAAAGAGATAAACCACAAAAGTTTCCTGCACTAATAAGGTCTAAATTTAAAGGTCATTTTAAATAACATCTCTTTAACAATTATAAAATAATTTACTAATGACCTGACAGCTCCTCCCCTCCAGGGTATCCTGACCCTGCTCTCTACTGTAGACATAAACCCGGTCAACCTGCCTTCATGGATACCTTCACCTTGGATCAATCCATCAACCAAACTAAACAAAACTTAATCCATCATCCAAACTAAACAAAACTAAATCCAGCAACCAAACAAAACAAAACTTAATCCATCAACCAAATTAAACAAAACTAAATCCATCAACCAAACTAAACCAAAATAAATCCATCAACCAAACTAAACAAATCTAAATTCATCAACTAAACTAAACAAAACTTAATCCATCAACCAAACTAAACAAAACTAAATCCATCAACAAAACTAAACAAAACTAAATCCATCAACAAAACTAAACAAAACTAAATCCATCAACCAAACTAAACAAAACTAGTTCTATTACTCCTTGGTTTGAATCCCCATTCCATAGTTCTACAATCCCATGGTTTAAAGATACTTCTATCCATAGTTCAATTACTCCTTGGTTTAAAAATATCCTCTCTATAGTTATATTACTCCTTGGTTTAAAGATATCCTCTCCATAGTTCTATTACTCCTTGGTTTAAAGATATCCTCTCCATAGTTATATTACTCCTTGGTTTAAAGATATCCTCTCCATAGTTCTATTACTCCTAGGTTTAAAGATACCCCTATCCATAGTTCTGTTAAATAAACCTGTCAAAATCTTCACAATTGCAGCAGAGAGTTAGAATATGTGAGGTTGATCCATCATCAGCTCTAAAATTTTCTTTTTAAGTGGGTGGCTTGGGGGGGGGGTCGGTCATCATTCATAACTTTTTCTTTGAAAAGTCAGGTTTTAATTTGTATTAAAGATTTTTAGCTCTTTTGGATGGCCATGATGATAATTCAATGAACGAATAATATTAAAATGTCTAACATTTTTTTTCTTTTTAATTAAAAGTTTTACCCCCCCCCCCACATATATCTAATAGCATGGAAAATATAAAATATAATTTTAAATACTTTAATCTAAAATTTAAAAAAAAGTTAGGGTAAATACCTGGATTTAGTAAAGTTTTTATAAAATTAAATTATACAGTAATAGCTATAAAACTCTAAAATAGGAAGACGACTTTTAGAAGCCTGAGAAAAAGTTCAATGAGCATGAGAAACAGCAATTGTGCAGTGTAAATTAGTGCTCTAATAAATGTCTAGTAAAACTATTTGCTTTTTAACAACCTTAAATAGGTTTAATTATTGCTCTATTCCATTGTTTTATAGTTTCCAGTAGTAAAATTGGTGATGCTAAATTTTGTAATTCAGATGTTCATTATTAAAAATTTCAAAATGTCCCTGTATTCACAGCAGCAAAGAGGATCTTCATTATTCACTGAAGCAGCAGAGCTTCTAATTCTTGAAGGGTTGATCATCAAATCATTGCTCATTGTGTCATTAGTTATTGTGTCATTGATCATCGTGTTAAAATGCATAAATCTGTCATTGCTTTCATCTGAAAAAAAGTGATCATCGTCATATATTATAACACGGTGCTATAAAGTTTTATTTGGTACCAGATTTTCAAAAAAAAATATTAGAATATTTCTATATTTTTTTATTAAAATGAATAAAAAATATATTTCATGTCTGCTTTGTTAAAAAACCTTAAATTATATCTAGAAATAATCAATTCATAACATTTCATGAAATTAACATAATATTATTATTTTGCCACAACGTGTTCCAAAATTTTTAGACTTAAATTCTCTCTATAAAAAGAAAATTTATAAATCTTTTTATGGATTATTCAATGATTAGGCAAAGAAAGAAACATGTTTATAGTTGAAGCGAATCATACATTTCAGGACACAGACAATATAAATTCTGTACGGTCGTCTCTGAAGTCTCATCCAATTTGAAGACAACCCAGGATCTGAATTTGATTATTTTAGAATAGTAAGACGACTTTTAAATTAAGTATACTTACTTTAAATAGTCCAATAAACACGAGACAATGAAATTGGCAGTGTAAAGATATACATTTTAAACTAATTTAATAATTTACTGGTAAACTATTTGCTTCAGGGTTACCCACAAAAGATGAGACTTCAGACACGACTGTACGGGGTTTTTAGGCTTCTTAGTTTTCATGATTCCCTGAAATTTTTTTAAATTCATTTCCAAATCATTAAATAAGCCAAAATATTACTTTGTTTGAGGCAGAAGACTTAATTTAACCTTGAAATAAGTCTTCACTGTCTCATCCTTATTGTAGGTAACCCTGAAAATGTAAAAACATTAAATTCGCTGTAATATCGTCTTTCTATTGAACAGTTTTATGGTTTTCACTGTATAATTTGACTCTATACTCGTATTATCTATGCTGCGGTGCTGTAATATCGTCTTTCGATTGAACAGTTTTATTGTTTTCATCGTATAATTTGACTCTATACTCGTATTATCTATGCTGCGGTGCTGTAATATCGTCTTTCGATTGAACAGTTTTATTGTTTTCACTGTATAATTTGACTCTAACTGTTCACTGTTTATATTGTATGTGTGCATTAAGTTAGAAAAGCAGGTATATTACTTATATCTATTATTTATAATACTTATAAACACAAGTCAGCTGATTTATGAATAATGAAAGCACTATTCTTATCCAGCCTGCAATATACCCGCAATTTTATTGATAAGAAAACTGACGCAATTGCATTATACCCGCGTATACAAGCCATGAAGGGTATACCCGCTCCTCGAAGCAGGAGGAAAGGAACCTGTACCAACCTGAAGTTTTCTGAGCTAACGTTTTTAAGACCTAATATTATTTCAACCTTTAATTTCTGTTCGATCAAATAATCTATAAGTTTGAAATATCAAAGGTAAACACAATCAGGTTGATAAGATAGGGATTAGAAGAATTGAGGTTGTGGCAAAGACTCAACCACGTCTATTTCCAATTCAACTCCAGCTAAACCTACCTAACTATTTTTTTTAGATATTTTAGCTCTGAAAACCCCTAGATCGGAAAATTCTTAGGTCAGAAGACACTGTTTCCTCTCCATGAAAAATTCATCGATTTACTTTGTAAAATTAATTTACGCTTTCTATTTATTGAAAAAATTAAAATAATAATTTTGTTGAGTCAAATAATAAATGGAAAAAGGAAGCGTACCATTTCATCCTTGTTAAAAGATTGCAAGTCAGAAAATTGCTTATAAGTTGGATTAAATTTGAAGAAAAAAATAAACTAAGATGTTTTCATGCTAGTAAAGCAGTGACAAATTTCATTCTTAATTATGATTCATTAAATTTATTTGGCTAGGAGAGTGCAGGATTGAGAATATTTTAGAAGTTTCATAGTTTTGTTTTTTTTCTGGTGAAATTTTAAAACACTCTCAAGTGTTGACAAGTAAATTGCATGTTAAAAAATACATTAGTTTAATTAAGGATGTTTACTAGTAACCAATGTCCATCCCTGTCTTGTTGTTTTCAAGTCAGATATCAAAAGTCTCTATTTTATTCTTTGTTTATTTCTATTTGTCTATTATTGACGTTTTAAATTTATTCTTAAATTATGAAACCTAGATGTCTCTGTAAGTACTGTAATGTTTAATATTGCCTCGTGAAATTAAGATACAGAGTTTTTTGATATTTTTTTTCAATTTCTACATACACTCTAAAAGAAAATAATTTTACTTAATAAAATCATATTTCAGGTAGATGCCGGTTTACTTTACTGCGACCATCATACTCTTTTATCAGTATGGTTATAACTGAAATAAAGAAATTAAGCATATAAAAGTGCCCGTGCAGTAAATATCGGGTTCTTATCTTTATCCATGGCCCTATCAGTTTTTATCCTTATCCATGGCCCTATCAGTTCTAATCAATGCTTACTCATGCTTTAAAAATATAAATATCCATTTCATTCATTTTAACACAACATTGAGATTTATAATTTTACCCCACGAGTTAATGATTTGAATTGTAGTTTTTTTTTTATATTTTTTACACTTTTCGTTGAATCTTTCTTTATACGTTTAATTTATTTTATTCATCAAGTAATAAATAGTGTGGTTCAGGTTCTTGAAATGAAGAATCAAATTCAAAATATTTTCAATGATCGTATTCCAATTTTCTCCATTATAACTTTTTAAATTAAAATTTTCGAAGATTAAATATCTTCATAATCTTAATTGACTAACCCTATCACGATGGGGGGGGGGAGTGTTTTCTATACCCCCCCCTGTGGTGTGTTCTAAATAACAGCTTACAATAGAACGCTAAAACTTTTTAAATTTTTCAACATCATAGAGATGTAAACAAATGTTGCCAAATTTTTTTAGTTAGAGGGTAGAGTGGAGGACAGTCAAACGGCGGGTCGGTGTTTAAAAAAAAGTTAGGCTACAGGGCTGAAATTTTTATATTTAAAAAACCCTTGAAAAATGGATGTAATAACAAATGCCACATGTTAATATTAGTCAAAAGTAGAAATAATTATTTTTGAACATTTTTCTTTGCACAGTAAGATGGCAAGACAGAAATTACTCATACAGTTCCTTTAACAGTTGTTTTTGATTCTTTCCCATCCTTCACTTTTTGTGAATTAATATTTTGCAATTCTAACCCATGGCGTCTTAGCTGATAAACAAATACTTGTTATTTGAGAATGTTTAATTTTTAGTTCTATTTCTCATCAAATGGGATTTTTGCATTAAATAAGATAAATTTTGTTGTTGTAAATCTATGCCTAACTAGAAATATACTTTTCATTGTCTTCGGTAAACGCCAAAAAAGTTCTGTGAAAAATCTTTCCCCTGGGTACCCAGAGTTTCTTGCACATTTCATCCAATGTGGTCCTGCAGCCTGCAAATTCACAAACAGACATTTAAACAAGGAAAATATATATTCATCTTATAGATTAATACAAAATTGTCATCATTAAGCTTGAGACACAACTCTAGTGTCACCTTTATATTTTGCTTTACACATCATTTTGTTACTTAAAATTGCTACTATATGGAAGTTTTTTTTAACTGCAACTAATTCACATCATAATGTCCAAATATTTAAAAAAATCATATTTAATTCCATGCACATATATCAGGCAACAAATATTGCTTAATGTCGAATACATGGTCATTTTGCGCAATTCTGCAAAACTACTCACTCAGCCAGAAGAAATCCTTAGACGAAACCCCTACAGACAAGCTAGAGAAAGAAGAACCTCCTTCGCCTTGACTCTGTCCAGGGGCGGACACAGGATTTAAGTGAGGGGGTGGCAAGATTTTTTAGGAGCAAAAAAATTTAATCTGTCAGGGGGTGGCGAATGTCCCCCCGCCACCCCCCTGTGTCCGCCTTTGACTCTGTCGTATCTTCTGGGGTTAATAATGTGGCGGGACGACCCAGTGATCTTCAACAGAACACGACACAGCAGAGAGAGACAAGAGAGATTCAAGCTCACCAGATATTTTTCACATTGTTAAAAATAGAATATATATAGTTTTTCAAAATGTATAGTTTAATAAACTATGATCATTAAACTTCGTGCTTATTGAACGTAGCCAAAAGCTGTTTATTATAGGTAGATCAGCTGTTTATTACAGGTAGATTAGCTGTTTATTATAGGTAGATTAGCTATTTATTATAGGTAGATTAGATGTTTATTAAAGGTAGATTAGCTTTTTGGTAGATTATCTGATTATTAAAGGTAGATTAGCTGTTTATAACAGGTGTACTACCTGTTTATTATAGGTAGATAATCTGTTTATTAAAGGTAGATTAACTGGTTATTATAGGTAAATTAGCTGTTTATTATAAATGTGTTACCTTTTTAACACAGGTTAATTATAGCTGTTTATTAAAGGTAGATTTGCTGTTCATTATACTTTCATTAGCTGTTTATTAATGGTAGATTATTTGTTTATTGAAGGTAGATTAGCTGTTTTTTATAGGTAGATCAGCAGTTATTACAACTAGATTATCTGTTTATTAAAGGTGAGATTAGCTTTTATTATGGATAGATATAAACTGTTTATTTAAGGTAGATAAGCTGTTTTTAGGGTAGATTATCTATATATATATTATAGATAGATTAGCTGTTTATTAAAGGTAGATTAGTTGTTTATTGATTCTTATTTTTGATGATTTTTATTCTTTCTAAATTCTTTTGTTATTAAGAATTTTTAAGATAAGTAAAAATGTCTAAATTAGAATAATAGGAAAATATGCAGAAATAAATGTATACTTTAAAATATGTTGATTCCGGATTTTCAGATTTAATTTCATGCATTTTTAAATTTAGAAAATCCGGTGACATGGAAACGCCTCAACACGGAAACGGATCAAAAATTATTTTTGAGGAATTTCCGTTTTTATTTAGAAATTCGAGGAAATTCCTCAAAAGTTCAGAATTGTTGAGGGATTTCCGAATATTTTGTATCCGTTTCCCAAAATTTTGAGTTGAATGGTTTCCTCTTTTTTTTGATCAATTTCCTCATATTTGT